ATGTAAGTAAGTTACCGAGGTTTATAAATTATATTTTTGTGAAAAGATTTTTTCCCTTTTATAATTTTTTGAATGAATGCATATTATAACTGGATTTATAAGTTCTATTTTATTATGTAGGTAAGTAAGTTATAGGTCATACTTACTTTGCACATTTAACCTAACTAAACAAGATTAATTTGTTAAAATCTTAATTACATTAATTAATTTTCATGACCAGAATTTATTAATTTGTAACCTTAAAAATTTTAATTGTAAGTTTGTTATAAATAACTTGAAAAAATTGAATTGCTTATGGCGGGAATCAAACCCACGATTTTTTATTGAAGTAAAAAGTTTTACTTCACGGTCAAATTATTTTTTTTTGAGAAAACGTATTTGGCAAGAAACGGAACAAGTTATGAGAATGATTTGTCAGTTTACTCAGTTTGGTTAAAAGCATGTTCTCTTTGTTAGGCGTTCTTCATTTTGATTGGTCAAAAATCAAATTGAATAATGCATGTAATCATTTTCACGCAATATCCACTCACGAAATAATGTAACTAACTTTTCCAAAAAAAAACGCGATAGATAGATGATAATCATATTTTAATAAATCTTCGTAAAGAAATAAAACGCATTTCTAGGTCATCAAAAATATTTATTAGTGTTGCAAGTGGCACCCTTATTGCGTCAAACGGAACAAATGACGCGCGTCTTCGTGCGCAATGAAAACGTGCTGATGAATTTCTAAGTTTGCTTGTCATCGCGGCCGACAGAAAATCGTAAACCAATATTTTAATGTTATTTACACTATAATAAGTGCAATTACTGTTTATTTGCTGAATACCTATTTTTACAGTTTTATAATAACTCAAGACCATGAGTTCAATCGGTACAGGAGTGAGTATTATCTTAAAATTAAGCATCTTAGGTTAGGACTATTTACTGGCCATTTTAACATTAATTTACCTTCCAAATACCTTTGTTACTCCCGTAAACGCATTTTTTGTATTATTTTCTGAATAGATTGTACATTACAGGTTTCCTACATAGATTTCTGTGTTAAAATTCAGTTATTTCAATCAACAAAGTCATCTTTTTTTGTCCTAAACCTACAGTTTTTTATGATTTCAGTATGATCTTTCGGCTTCACAATTCTCGCCGGACGGTCGTGTGTTCCAAGTGGAATATGCCGCGAAAGCTGTAGAAAATTCCGGCACAGTCATTGGGCTGAGAGGGAAAGATGGAGTTGTGTTTGGGGTTGAAAAGCTGGTGACATCAAAGTTGTATGAACCTGGTGCTAACAAGAGGATCTTTCATGTAGACGAACATGTTGGAATGGTGAGTATATCTTTTATAACTACTTGATGAAGCTATAGCTTTAATTTGGTTTCATAATAATATTTTTGTACTACTATGCTTGATGTATCCAGAGTGTTTTGAAATCCTCTGTGGTAAGGTAGGTGATATGAAACTTAACAATGCTTTTGAGTACTTACCAACTTGACTTTGAAACTAAATTCATAGAAAAATGGTATATTAATTTTCATTTCATATACAATTCTTTTATTTACCTGTTTAAGCTAAACAATTTGCAAACTTTTAGCACACACATACTATCATTAATATTTTAAACACTATTTACGTAGACCAACAATAACTTCTTACTGCAATTTCCAGGCCGTAGCAGGTCTCATATCAGATGCGAGACAGATCGTAGAAACAGCCCGTACAGAAGCATCCAACTACAGATCACAGTATGGCATCCAGGTGCCTCTGAAGTACCTTAACGAGCGTGTCTCCATGTACATGCACGCATACACCCTGTACAGTGCTGTCCGTCCTTACGGTTGCTCCGTCGTGATGGGCACGTGGACGGATTACGAAGGACCACAGATGTACATGTTGGATCCTAGTGGAGTGTCATTTGTAAGTACTTATATTTACTGTAACTAAATGAATAAAGCTCAACTGAAAAAAATATGTAGTAATGCATGTTGAAAACGTCTTGCTGGCGTTTGACCGTCTCAAAACACCCTCCCGTGCCATTCCCTTAACTCAAGCACTGAGTTAAGTGCCTATATGATGGCTACTACTTCTTTTGAATAAACATTTATCATGCTAGGTGTGTCAGCAAAATTTTCAGCTAAGGGTAACTTTCTTACTTCTTTCTTACTGATATTGATGTTGTGTAAAGGCTAAAGTGTAATATCATAATAATGTCATGAAAAAAGAAGGCATCACTCCTAATTTATAGTAAATTTTTCCAATCATCTCACATTAGATGCTGAAGTATACTTCAGTACCAATTTGAAAGTTATCTGTTAATTGATGTGCATGAATTTGCAGTTACATTTTGAAGGACGGTATTTTTTCAAGGCAAAAAGAAAAGAAGTCTAGATAAATGTTATTTACAATAACATTATATTTTGTTTATTCCAGTCTTACTTCGGCTGTGCTGTAGGCAAAGCGAAGCAGGCTGCTAAGACTGAAATTGAGAAGCTGAAGCTAGCCGATTTGACTGTCAAAGATCTTGTTAAGGAAGCTGCCCGGATGTAAGTAGCATTTTTTTTTTTCTTTTTTTATCCAAAACGAGGAAGCTCTGGGCCTGAATCTCACCAAGTAAGTTTGCTCTAACAACAAGCTATTTGGAAATTTTAAACACTGATAGCAATAAAATTTTCAAGGAAAGAGTGAACAATTACAAAGCAGATTATGTTTATGTACCATCCACTGCATCTCACTTACAATCAGGTGCGATTGCAGTCAAATACCTGCCATGCCTTGCATTCTGTATAAAAAAAAATTGGCTATATTGAAAATAAATAAAGCTGCGAAAGCTTTGCATTCATTATTTAACTTGTCTGTGTTTGCAAACTGGAATTCCAAATAAGTTTTTTTATATTTTTATCATCATCAATTTATTTAAATAACATTGCATTGGTGCATAAAAATAATAGTTATTAGATTGTTGTAATTTTGCTGAATCAGATTACATTGAAATGTAAAATGCTATTTTTTATTAATTTGCTCTTTATACAAAAGCGCCATCTACGGTTATTGGGCGTACTAGTAGCAGTGTTCAGTAGATAGCCCAAGGCTTTCACGCATTTCCCCGCCGCGCTACTAGATGGCAGTGCTTGAATCAAAGTTGGAACCACATGCACTTCTTCCATTTATTTTTATTTAAAAAAATTTGAAGCTTATTTTAATGTTAATGTAGGTTAATTAATTAATCTGTGTGGTCTTGAATAGTTTGTAAAGGCGCAAGTACACTGCGGAAAATTGTCCAAGTCGAAGCGTTAGCTCGCACACTGAAGTATGGGCGACACACTGGCAGAGGAAGGACCGAGATGGTGTTCACACTATTACGTCATGACCAATTTTCCGCATAGTGTACTTGCGCCATAAATAAATTTTGGAGTTATAATAATATCTTGCTTCGTTTCGTTCGTTTCGTTTCAGCCAAATGACGTCCACTGCTGGACAAAGGCCTCCCCCAAGGTTTTCCATAATGAACGGATCTCCTCATCAAGACAAAAGTCTTCGAGCAGTGTGTGTTGCCAGTGTTGATATATAGATCTGAAACGTAGTCGCTTACTATGGGCCTCATAAGAAGGCTCAAGGTCACCGCAAAGTGTACTTGCGCCTTAAATAAATTTTGGAGTTTAATTTTTTTGCGTATTGGTGTCAATTATTTTTCTAATTCGATTTTTGTTTAATTTCAGCATCTACCTAGTCCACGACGAGCTCAAAGACAAACAATTCGAGTTAGAACTGTCCTGGGTGAGCCAGGCCACCAAAGGCAAGCATGAGATGGTCCCTCGCGAGGTGGCTTCGGAAGCCGAGAACCAGGCCAAGCAGGCGTTGGCCGACATCGAGGATTCCGACGAGGGCGAGATGTGAATGAGTTAGTTAATAAATTTTTATTAATAAACCATGACGTTTTTGTTTAGGTTATTTTTAGCCATATACGGAGAGCTTGAAGCACTTACTATCGACAGCTTCAAGCGACTGCATTGCAAACTACGAAAGCAGTTGTGACTGCTAATACTGTAGTTAGTGTCTGTGCAGTCGCAGTATGAATAACTACACCGAACCGTCCCACCCGTGACACTGATCGGGGGGCGATAATTTAATCATTCGATATTTGATCGCTCGATGAAACGTGTTCGATATTTTTATTTTCGATAATTTGTAATTCGATATGGTGGAGGTAACCCGTTTCGGCGCCACCGTCAATACCGGATAGCTGGTTCCGGATTTTCGCCACGTTGGAATTGGAAACTATATTTTAGTTGAAAGATGGTGGTACCCTCCTATCAATGTGTTTGGTGGAATAGTTCAGTGTAGTTCATCTAATTTTTTATTTTATTTGACTGATTTGTTATCATTTTACTTGACAATTGTACACAATATTGACATTTTTAATTGATATTATTTGCACGATTGTACCTATAACTTGTTGGCGCGTTGGATTTTCTGTAAGCCTTCAAGCAGCCTTCTAGAATAAATAAATAAATAAATCTATAACTGCTTTAAGCTGTCCGTGTGTGGCAGGCCTTAGCGTTACTGTTCACTTTATAAACGCGTATTCGTCATTTTATGTTTAGTCTCTTAAAACACTGTCGATGGCAGCGACGTCCGTCGACAGTGTTTCATAGTTTTTTTATATGCTAGCATAATATGACGAATATGCGTCTATGACGCGATGCTACGTGGACAGTAGTTTTTACCTGGGATGGGCTGTTTACGCTCTTGGCCTATTGATTGGGCCTTGTGCGAGTAGCTAACATAAATCATTGGATTCTATTGACCAGGCTTTTGACCCTGGTTATTTAGTACACAGGAGTTGCGGTGGTGGGAATGACGAGTTCTTACTGTTTTATTGTCGTTTCTAACTAGGGGATTATAAAATCAAAATGTCAGCATTATTTTTGAATTTGAAATTACGGATCGACAGTAGGTAGTTGTTATTTTGTGCTTGTGATTTACATGAAGTAAATAAAACAAAGATATAATTTCGTGATAACTCTTCATTTATTTGTATTGTCAGTTATGTGTTTATCTCACAATATTTGCAGACATTACTAAGAGCATATACAAATTGTATGACCGATATTTATTTAAATGACTCACATATTTATAAAATGTACAATATAATCTCATTCGTTTTGAACTTAGTTAAATATTTACAAAATATTAGATCTGATAAAATTGTATACAATATCTATAATTTTTAGATTACAGTTGATATAAATACATAAAAAATAATAAGAGCAACGATATTTACATTATTATAATGATTATCAGGTCATTGTTTATTCGTCTTCATTCCTGCTGCGTGGTTACTCTTGGGTATAACTGGAACAAAAGATAATAATATAATTTTAGACAAGTTGATTTTGAATGTTAACGAGATGAAACAATTCGTTGCGGATCCAGTGACAGTTTAACTTTTCCCCTGGGACTAACATAACTTTCATTGGTTGGGTTTATTAGGTAATACATTTCGATGCGGATCAATGACAGTTTAATTTCCCCTTTGAACGAATTTGACCTTCATTGGTAGGTTTATTGGCGGTCAAGCTGTAAATCCTAGCTACACAGGGAGTTGCAGCGGTGGGTATGAGAGGTGGAAATAGTCCCGTTTTGGGATAACTAGGCTTCCACCATCTTACCTACTGTCGCCATCACAGCATTGTTAGGTTGCGGCACTTAGAGATAACTGAGTAAAGCTCGCTACCTTCAGACTGATCATTGTGGATGAGCTTACTCCGAACAAATTTCTAAGCACTTTGTCGTTGCCAAGGTGGTAGTGCCCACCACTTGCGCTCGGCGTCGTCGCCTTTCCGTAGGGTTATTTGAACCTTTGTTCGACACCTGTGGGAAAGGGTCTCCCCGGATACTTTGGGAACAAAAAGGGAATATTCTCTTACCCCGAGCAAGTTCTGAGCACGTAGCTCTCACGCGCGCTGTCGTCGCGGCACCACCACCACTCGCGCTCGGCGTCGTCGCGTCATCATCATAAATTACTTGAAGCTTGATTTGGCATCTATGGGGCCTTCCCCATTCCCCACACACCCTGGAAGACCCCTAGATCTACCCGTTCTGCTTCTATAGTCTGGTCCGGGAGCACGTAGAATTTTGTCCAATGACCCCAAGCTACCCATCCTTATCGCTCGCGCGTAATTATGTTGCTATCGCGCTCGCACACTCACTGCGGGTGCTAGTCGCACAGTCCCGACAGCAATATGCTCACGGACCGGGCTTTATCTGCTTCTACCGCTTACCCCGAGCAAGTTTCTCGGCACGTAGCACTCGCGCGCGCTCTCGTCGCGGCACCACCACCACTTTTGACCGCCTTTGTGGTCTAGTGGTATGGCCATTTGACTCAGACCCAGAGGAACAGTTAGTCATGTGCATGTGGATTGAGTGATCCTTGCTTCAATCTTAACAAAAATCGAGGAAGTTTTACTTAAAATATGTTAAAACATTGCGATGAAGTTTAAAAATTTGTTAAACCTAAGATAAAAATGTTATGGCCAATAAATAGGAGCACTCATACCGCACGCTTTAAGAAAACGTCAACATGTTTATTTCAGAAAATAAAGCCTTTCCACTTCTTTTTATAGTATTGAAAAATTGTTAAGAATATGTTAAAACTATTAACAAATTCAGAAATTCCTTGCACGTCCCGTTCCAAAGTTATGACGATTATTTAGGATCACTCACACCGCACACGGGCCGTATGAGTGCTCTTCAAAATAATGACTTTTTATTAATAAATACGTTTTATTTCTGTTGGGAAATGTGTGCAAACTGACGAGCGAATTTGTTAAAGAATAAGTGTGACAAAACTTAAAAGCTGAAGGAAGAAATTAACCTTTATTCTTTCCTCCAATATGCCGTGTGAGTGATCCTTACTTTTACCTCTATCTGCTCATATGTAGTTCGTAGGCAGACTGAGATAGTATCTAAAATTGTTAATTGTTTTTAACAATTATTTGGCATATATTTTGCTTTTATTAAGGTCATAATTTAAGAAATATCAGGCTTAGATGATTCCTAAAGGAAAATGTTGATTAGGGTACGTATGATTTTTTATTTTGAGAGACTGTTTCGATTCATCAGAAGTTTACATGTGAGATTTAATAATATTATTTTATCGTATTTTATAGTCCAACCAAAAAAAAAAAGTTTTGTTGAGAAATTTGTAATTTATTTAAATAAAACCGTGAGTATCTTTCTCAATTCATATTACAAGTCAAATTTGAATTCAATCCTATAAACAATTGTAATGTTTCTTTATTTCTATCATTCAAGATGTAGGGGTAAACCACTAAAACTCGCGCTACTGCCGACCGCGGCGACGGACGCCCCCCGCGAGTTTTAGCGGAGGCCCCTAAACCTACTACATATTAGATTGCATTGGTTTTGCATTGTCACGTCTGACGAATCGGAACAGTCTCACAAAATAAAAAATCATATGTACCCTAATCAACATTTTCCTTTAGGAATCATCTAAGCCTGATATTTCTTAAATTATGACCTTAATAAAAGCAAAATATATGCCAAATAATTGTTAAAAACAATTAACAATTTTAGATACTATCTCAGTCTGCCTACGAACTACATATGAGCAGATAGAGGTAAAAGTAAGGATCACTCACACGGCATATTGGAGGAAAGAATAAAGGTTAATTTCTTCCTTCAGCTTTTAAGTTTTGTCACACTTATTCTTTAACAAATTCGCTCGTCAGTTTGCACACATTTCCCAACAGAAATAAAACGTATTTATTAATAAAAAGTCATTATTTTGAAGAGCACTCATACGGCCCGTGTGCGGTGTGAGTGATCCTAAATAATCGTCATAACTTTGGAACGGGACGTGCAAGGAATTTCTGAATTTGTTAATAGTTTTAACATATTCTTAACAATTTTTCAATACTATAAAAAGAAGTGGAAAGGCTTTATTTTCTGAAATAAACATGTTGACGTTTTCTTAAAGCGTGCGGTATGAGTGCTCCTATTTATTGGCCATAACATTTTTATCTTAGGTTTAACAAATTTTTAAACTTCATCGCAATGTTTTAACATATTTTAAGTAAAACTTCCTCGATTTTTGTTAAGATTGAAGCAAGGATCACTCAATCCACATGCACATCAGTTAGTCTAGAGATTTGTGGATAATAAAATCAAAGTAAACATACCCCGAGAAAGTTTCTAGGCACGTAGCCCTCTCGCGCGCTATCGTCACGGCACTGCCACCACCCTCGACCGCCTCTGCGGTCTAGTGGTACCCTGCGGGACCCCTAGCCTTCCTGGGTGTGTTGGAACAAAAGGTGGGAATATTCTCTTACCCCGAGCAAGTTCCTAGGCACGTATCCTTCGCGCGCGCTGTCGTCGCGGCACCACCACCACTCGCGCTCGGCGTCGTCGCCCTTCCTTAGCACGTGCAGGCGCGCGCCGCCCGCGAACGACAGCTCGTCTGCGCGCGCCTTGTACTTACCCGTGTTTGGTGACTATGGGAGGGGTGTGGTGGAAACTAGAGGTGGGAATAGTCCCTTACCTGGAGCAAGTTTCTGGGCACGTAGCACTCACAAGCCATCTCATCTAGGCACCACTACCATGGATTACTTGAATATTTATTTGACACCTATAGGGAAAGGGGGCTCCTCTGATGTGTTGGGAACAAGAAGAGGGAATAGTCTCTTACCCTGAGCAAGTTTTTGTGCGCGTAGCTCTCGCGCCCGCCTCGCCCGATCCTTTGTTTATCACCTATTGGGAAGGAATCTCCCCGGGTGTGATGGGAAAGATAGATGGGAATAGTCACCCCGAGCAAGTTCTGAGCACGTAGCTCTCGCGCGCGTTATCATCACGACACCACGCTCCAAGCACTCCGCGAGGATATCCATCCAGGTTACTTGTACCTTTGGCACCTGAGGGAAGGCGGCTTCCCGGGTATGTTGGGAAGGAAAAATGGCAATAGTCTCTTAACCTGAGCAGGTTTCTGGGTATGTAGCTTTCGCACCCGCCTCGTTGCATCACCACCATAGGTTACTTGAATGAAGCTTTGTTTGGGACCCACGGGGAAGAAGTCTCCCCGGGTGTATTGGGAACAAAAGGTGGGAATATTCTCTCACCCCGAGCAAGTTTCTGGGCACGTATCCTTCACGCGCGCTATCATCGCGGCACCACCACCACTCGCGCTCGGCGTCGTCGCCCTTCCTTAGCACGTGCAGGCGCGCGCCGCCCGCGAACGACAGCTCGTCTGCGCGCGCGCCTTGGTACGAGAACACCGCGTACACTAGGCCGTTGTTCATGATGCCGAGCTTCTCTTGGACGCCTGTAATTTGAAATATTGACCATGTTTAGATATCGCCATCTAAAGTACGGCCAACTAGCAGCGATACAAAAGGTCGACACGGCTGTCGAGTTGACAATATATTATCTCTTCCCATCTTGTGTATTTGTCGTAATGTCTCGTTCTCCCGCCAAAATATGTCGACGTCAGACGGGTTCACCCATGACATTAGGTTTGTTTACATTTGGTATCGCTTCTCGTTGGCCGTACTTTATTTAGTACTAAATTACAGCTTCCGCGAAACCAAGGCGTGCAGCTCGCGTCGGCGATGGCGATCAATATGATGCATAGGTCGCCGCGACCAATGGCAGGACGCGTTGATGTGAACTTGTCCCTACAAATTTATACGCCACATCTTATCGCCATTGTCATCGCGCACGCAGCCTGCACGTATTAGTTTAGCTGAACCTTAAGCTAAGCTTGTGCTATGGGAGGGACTCTTGATCTCAAGATCTTGATCTTGTTAGTGGAGCAATTTCCCTCGACTCTCCCTCTCGAATGCCAGCAAATTCAACTCTCTACGACATTTAATTTACAAAATTCAAATCGTTTATTGCATGTCACATTACAATTAGCGCTCCTGCACACGACGCCGCCGCCGCGCATTTGCACTGTTTATACGCGCCGCATGAAGCCCGCTGCCGAGCCGCCGCCGCGCCGCCGCCGCGCCGCTGGCAAAATTATGCTTTGATGGCGCGTTGGCGGCGCGGCGGCGGGCTTTACTCGGCGCGTATGAACAGTGTAGGGGCACGGCGACGGCGCGGTAGCAGCGCGATGACGGCGTCGTGTGCAGGAGCGCTTATAGTGGTGTTACAATATACTATTTATTTACTTTCTACCTTTACCATTTCTACCTTCCATTATCTTTTTGTTATAAATATACACTACTCATGCAACAATCTAAGGCAATCAATTGAACATCATTCCCTGTCTATATGACTGGTTGGGCGATTCTCGGGAACAGAAGTAATCAATATCTGACTTACTGTATAGATATTCGGAGCAACCGTCGAAACCCTCCTCGTCCTCTTCGCACTTCTCCGCCGCCGTCTCGTGGTCAGACAGCGTCGTAGCGAATATACACGCACCTGCAAATACAAATTGGGTTGATTTTGTATTATCTTTGTCACATAATTCATAAAAATTTAGTAAACGCAACCCAGGGGACGTGTCAATCTGCAGGCAGTAAGGCTGCCAACCCTATTTTAGTAAAAGAAATGGACCTACTGAAATAAAGACTACAAGTAGTAGCATATAACGGTAGACTCTTAGCACTGAACTACCTATCTAATATTCTGTGACGCTATGTCGCTCTCGACCAAACGACATGCAAATGTAAACAGGCCTGTTAAAAGAACTTCACAGGTTCAAAGTCTTTAGCGTCACATGTGAAGGAAAAAGACCTAAATCTCGTCTTGCTTACCATTATCGACGAGGAAGCGCACCATCGGCAGGTTATTGCAGGAAGCGGCGCAGTGCAGCGGCGTCCAACCATCTGAGTCCTGCGCGTTCACGTCGCAGCCCAGCTCTACCAGGAACCTGAAAATAAGACCGAGGAAATGTTATTAGAAGAGAGTAAAAGAAATCACCATCATCAATTTCAGCCATATGATGTCCACTGCTGAAAGTAGGCCTCCCCCAATGCTTTCCTTGTTGATCGATTGGTAGCGGCCTGCGTCCAGCGCTTCCCTGCTACCTTTATGATGTCGTCGGTACGCGGAAGGTTGCGGAAAAGAAATAATCCTTCAAAATTTCACAAATAGCGTAAATCTTTACATACACCCAAGACAAGGTGTGGACCAGTGAGTACACTGACGACTAATAACGTGGGTCATTACACCATTATCTGCTATGGTCGCCATGTGAAGTGTATGTGTAAGGGTTTCTTTCGTTTAAAAAATAACGGCACTAACGCTCTTATAAAATTTATCAAAATGTTACAGCACATACTATAAAACCCAAGATGGAGCGGGCTATGCTCGGAGTTTCCCTGTGTAATCGAATCAGAATTGAGGAGATCCGCAGGAGAACCAAAGTAACCGATATAGCTCTCGGAATTGCTAAAATCAAGTGGCAGTGGGCGGGGCACATAGCTCGTAGAGACGATGGCCGTTGGGGCAGAAAGGTTCTCGAGTGGCGACCACGGGCTGGAAGACGTAGCGTGGGCAGGCCTCCTACTAGGTGGACCGACGATCTAGTAAAGAATGCGGGCAGCGCAGGACCGTTCATTGTGGCAAACCTTGGGGGGAGGCCTTTGTCCAGCAGTGGACATCATTTGGCTACGAACGAACGTCGAAAGAACATACCATAGTATAGTATTTTACTTACTTAACTATCTCAAAATGCCCAGCGCAGATGGCATTGTGTAAAGCTGTGATTCCTTCGTCGTTCGCTGCACTTGCGTTCTGCACCTGAAATTCGTACAAAAAGCTGTCAAATCCCTGCTTTTTTAGAAGCGAATAAACTGAGAGAGAGAACAGACTGGGATATTTTCTCCGGGACTTCGTCTGCATCGAATGTTTTACATGTGTGTAACCATGTAGAGATCTAATGTGCCCCAATAAATAAGGCTTTAGAATTTAAGAAAAGGACAGAAGCGGCTGTCTAAGAATTATTTGCCAGTGAACGTCCGAAGTCTACACTACCTGCGTCGCCGTTTTCTTGACCAGCTCCAATTCTCCCTCCAGACTTGCATCCAGTAGCAATGCAAGGGGGTCGAAGCTCACTCGCCTCGTGAGCGGCGCCTTGCCGCCCTGCTTCAAGTTGCCCTTCTTTGACCGCCTCAAAACATTCTCAGAGCCCTGAGAATCCTGACCGTTCAAATCCACCGAGCTAATCTGCTCCGCTATATCCACAACGTTGTCTTTGCTATCTTCTTTCTCACTCGCTATTGATATGTTATTATTCAACGCCCGATCCACTTCATCCTTCTTCGTCTTATCTTTCAGGCCGTTCTGCGTTTCCCCTGAATCTAACGTTAGGTGGTCCATTTCTGGGAATAAGAATGCCGGTGGCATTTCTATGCGACGGTTGATGCTGACGCTTATTCCGTTTTTGGCGGAGTTCAGGTTTCGCAGCTTAGGTTGCTCGCTAAGAGGGGGTTTTCGGATGGTGAGAGGACGAGCTTTGATGATCATCTCGTTGCTGCTGCTGCCGTTGCTAGATTCCTTCTGGTTCTGCTGAGGCTCCTCGCTCGATGAGTCGGGGATGGGTATGGTGGGTAGAGTCGAATCCGTGTTTTGGTTGAAACCCGCGTCGTTGTTTGCTGACTGTCGCGGAGGTGTCTGGAAGAGGACACAAAATAACGTGGTTAATAATTTTAACCTTTCAAACTTTTTATCGTTCTCGGAAATCTCTACGAAAATTACAAAATGTGTTGAGTAGGGATCATGACTGTGATAGATCTGAAATAAGGGTTTCAAACATTATGAAGGTGTGATAAATTGCCTTAGTCATCAAAATGTCAACTTCTTAAAATGACAACCGGGATGCAAATTGTCCACTTCTCGAAATTACAACTTCTTAAAATGTCAACTTCGCTAAAAGATAACTTCTCATAATAAAATTGTCTATTTCGGATAAGTATAATAATAATAAATTAGTTTTTCTATAATTTACATTGTAAAAAAAATATTAAAAATAAGAAGGAAATTATAGATAATAATAAATAATAAAATCTCGGCAAACGGGCTAATAGCGAAGAGCTTCGACCAACATCTAAAGAAGCTCTCGCTAGATGGTTGGGTTGGCTCAAGGATCAGATTCAAAAGGCGGTGATCCTCAGCACGGCACGCATTGTCCGGAGGTTCCTCAGCCTGTGACCCTGACCACCGGTAGCCTGGGCCCTGCTCCGCTGCCAGCGGGTTAACTATTTTTAAGATTTTTGTTTTTATAATGTATTTTTATTTTTTTGATAATAATTACATTGTAAAAAGAAAAAATTAAAAATAAGAAAGTAAGATGAATAAAGGAATAATAATAATAAATACACTTTATTGCACACCAAACAAATAACATAACAGAAGAAAAGGAACACACAAGGTACAATTAGGCGGTCTTATCGCTATGAAGCGATCTCTTCCAGACAACCTATGGTGAGGACAGTATTTCGATTATTTGTGGACATTTTGCGTCCCGGTTGTCATTTTGATGACTATACAGGGTGTTTGGTAAATGGGTATATGAGCCGACACTAGCCCATGTTAACATGGGCATATAAATGGTATGGTGAAGTCAGAAATTTGATATCATCATTTTATTTTTTTAAATTTTCATACAAAATAAATTTTATAAAATCCGATTTGTATGAAAAATAAAATAATTAAAATAAAGATATCAATTTTCTGACTTCACCATACCATTTATATGCCNTAAATAGAAAACGAATAGAGGTAACTTTGGGAATTTATTCTATCGAGTCAACTTCATCAAATCGTGTTTCCATCCGTTAATAGCCCTAGAAAATATCCTCAACTATGTCCAATAAAAATCTTAGCCTTTAATTTTACTGTTTAGTACCTCAAAAATGAAAAATGAAAACCAAATTTTCGCCATTTTCTCTGCTACCCGGCCTTAATAAGAAGTCGAAACTAATTAGATGGGGCCGCAGAGGGCCCACAATGAAGCCCAGATTGCATCTTAACTATTTACAATTGGGCGGCGGTGCAGTTCACAGCCCTTGCCGCTGGATCGCTATAAAGATACACACGGCAGATGTTGTTACTTTGTGACATTTAGTCAATCAATGAATTCACCTTTACTTAGATAACTCACCTCTTTTGATGTTTACGGTTGAGAAAAGATTTCCAAATAGGTATGATGATGAAGAAGATCCATCTAAACACTATGGGTGTTTAGATAGATCTTCTTCATCCATCTTACGATGTTCAGGAATAGTTATGATAAGAGCGAGTTTGCAAACAATTTTGGTCTGATGTTATGTCGACACAAGTAACTTTCAGATTGAATTGGGATTATGACTAGAACAGAATCGTAATAAAGTTCTAAGATACCTCAATAAAACCTCGGTAAAGTATTTTTCTTATTTTTTTTATTTTTGCATTTCATTTGCAAATTATATTTTTGTGTGCAAGTTTTGTAAGTTGCAAATAAATGTATCTACACATTTTTGGTTCACTTATGCCCGTTTTCACCATCAATCCCTAATTTTTAAGTGACCCCTTTGAAAACAAAATTCCTGTTAATAAGGGTCAAAAGTCTGTCAAACTCTATAGAAAAAACACCGGTTATCATTATAGTTACGGTTAAAGTTGGTGGTGCAATTCAGCCTTATTGCTTTTCTTTAAGTAATGGGGCATGGACATATAAGTTATGATTTTAATTAAGTTTATTTGTAGTGTAATTTATTTATTTATTTAGGACACCCAATAAGACAGACACAAATGCAAGCAAAGTTTTTATTAGTTGTACTTGCCAGCCTAGCTAGCTAGTAGGTAGAGAGAGCGTTCCAAATTGCGCATCAAAATTTTACAGTATTTCGTAAGTTCGCGTCACATTTATAACAAAATATTAAGAGAGACTCCGATAATATAGGACGAAGAGTTAAAAAAAATGAAAAATAATGACTCTACATAACGTTGAATAAAGTTTACGATGCTTAATAATTTACCTACAATACAAATTATTGTAAAGGTATGGCATGCTGACATAATATGGCGTTAATAGCACCCGTATCTCTGTGCAGTTTAGCCGCATGAGTAAACATCTAGTGGAGTGGTGTAATGGGCGCATCGGATCAGCGAACTCGGCGTTTTGTTCGCGGGCGATTAGGCGACGCAGTAATCGTTGTCCTCAATGGGCTGCTTTATGTTAGAATAGAATAGAATAGAAAGTATTTATNTTTGATATCATCATTTTATTTTTTTAAATTTTCATACAAAATAAATTTTATAAAATCCGATTTGTATGAAAAATAAAATAATTAAAATAAAGATATCAATTTTCTGACTTCACCATACCATTTATATGCCCATGTTAACATGGGCTAGTGTCGGCTCATATACCCATTTACCAAACACCCTGTATAAGCCGATAAATTGTGTGATTTTGTATAATTACAAACGAAATGGCAAAGAAGACATTCATGTCTGCATTATTTACAAGTAAGTTCATTAGTACGTATTCCATCTGCGGCGGTTTTGAAGACTTGGCTCATAGGAATCTCACCTTAATGGTAGGCTTAGGAGGTAAGGCCGGCTTGGGCGACTTGTCGGTGCTGGTGTCGGGCGTGGCCAGCGGCGTGCTGGCGCCCTGCGGCGGCGACAGCAGCAGGCTCTGAGCCGACGCGTTGGAGCCGAAGCCCGCGCTCGCCGACAGCCCCGACGCAGTGTTCCTAATCATCTGGGGTTGGGAAGGCGCCGCGTTACTAGCTACATGACTCGTGACGCTTTGGGTCTGAACGGTCTGTGGCTGGACCGGTTGGATCTTTGTGGAGGATGTCTGGTAAATGGGTGACGGTTTCCCGGAGACCTGAACCGATGTGGGTGCTACACTCGATACGGGTTTCTGGAATGAATGATGATGATTTATGTACAGATGGTGAGCGGGTTAGCTATTATGATACAAGCACGGTTTAGTGAGTGATTGTGATGGGTTATAAGCTGGAACTCACCCCGAATCCTATTGAACTGCTCGCCGTCGTGGTGTTCGTTCCCAAACTCGGTGAGCTACCCTTCAAATTACCCTGTTGACTCTTCCCCGCGCTGCTCTTCGAGTCGTCGTTACTCTGACTATTGTTTTGACTTAATCTAGAATTCTGTGGATATGCATGGTTCTCTTTACCCTCTTGGTTACATCTACTTGACGAGTCAGATTTTTGTAACTGATATGTATGTTCCTGTTGATATGTCTCCATCTGACTCAGAGGCGTCGCTAGACTTTTGTTTACAACAGTCAATGGCGTCGAATGTACAGTCATATGATTTACATTGATGTTCGCTGCGTTTTGATTTTTGTCTTGTACTTCGTTGCTTTTACCGTTGACTTCGGGTTTTTGTTTGCCATTGGTGCTCTGTGGGAATTTCGTGTTGTATGGCAACGTTTGATATTTGGGATCGGATTTGCTAGCTGCGAATTCAGGCAAGAACTCTTGTTCGTTTATCTTGAGTTCCTTCGAGGGTTGGTTGCTGTTCGAACTCGTTGTACTATTCGGACTGTATTGCGGTTGTTTTGAGTAGTCTTGATATTTGTTGAGGTGATCAAACATGCCTTTTTGATCGTAAGCGTTTGTGATGCCCTGTTGAACGTGGTTGTAGTTTATGTTCTCGTGTTTTGGTGGATACTGGCCCTGGTACTGGCTGTTGTCTGGAGGCATATGTGGGTAACCGCCATTGTAGAGCGGGTTCATCATCTGTTTTTGCTGCAGATAATGCGCTTCTTGCTGCGTCATATGAGCTTGCATGTTTTCGGTTTGCGTGTGTTGTTTCAATGGCACGTTGTTTTGTATTACATTTTGCTTCATAGCCTGGAAAGAGAAATGCTCAATTTTAATTTATTTATTAGACAAGTCAGTAATTAGATGAAAGTCAAGAACAAGATGATGATATTAGAAGGAAAAATGTAAACAAGACATAGCTACCAACAAAAAAGAAACAAGGTGATTGTACGTTCGTTTCAGCCAAATGACGTCCACTGCTGGACAAAGGCCTCCCCCAAGGTTTTCCACAATGAACGGTCCTGCGCTGCCCGCATCCAGGCTCTTCCCGCGACCTTTACCAGATCGTCGGTCCACCTAGTAGGAGGCCTGCCCACGCTACGTTTTCCAGCCCGTGGTCGCCACTCGAGAACTTTCCTGCCCCAACGGCCATCGTCTCTACGAGCTATGTGTAGATTGTACGTATCCGAACACAATGAAAACGATTGTAGCAAAAAGTTAAACTTGCAATTGAAGTTAGAATAGAATAGAATAGAAAGTATTTATTTGTCTCAAAACAGGTTTCATTTACAGTTTTTCACAGATACAAAAATTCATAAGAGACAAAAAGGTCTATGACTCAGTGATTGCAGGAGACCCACAAACCCTGTTATTCTGCCATAGCCAAGATATACATAAGTAAATAAATAAATATTAATTTATAGGTACTTAAAATTACAATTTCCTAAAATTACAAATTGCTATGTGAACTTATAATTAGCCAGTGCCAGAGATTGCTCTTGAAGCAGCCAGTTGCGACATCTTTTGCGGAAGGTCGGTAGCGTAAGATCCAATGCGGCGCGAACCGGTGGTGGCAGGTCATTCCAAATTTTTGCAGCGGCAAATCTAAAGCAGCCCCTAGCACTAGCCAATTTTATTTTTGGTATAAGTAGCTGATGCCCCCTGTCTCTAAGCAATCTATTTACATGTTTAGGAAACAGTTTACTCCATAAGTAAGTTGGCATTTTTGTATGATGCAAAGTGTGCAGAAAACATGCATACTTTAATGTGGCTTGTTTGGACATACTGAGAATGTTTTTTTCGATTAAAGTAGGTGTAATATGATGTCTTCTAGGGATAGAAAAACAAAACCGCATGCATGCGTTCTGCACCCTCTGCACGTTCTTAGCAGTTTTTTTATACAAGCAAGGAGTGTAAACAATGTCACAGTATGAAAGGTGCGATAAAACCAAGCTATTACATACCAAAAGCCTGATACTTTTATTAAGATATGCTCTGAATTGGTACATTTTTTTAAGAGCTCCAAAACATTTAGCCATTTTATTACGGATATGCTGCTCAAACTTTAAATTTTCATCAAGTAATAACCCAAGATTGCGAACACAGCCCTCACCAGGAACAACAGTATCACGCACCAAAATATCCGGGCTAATACTCTTGATTTTTTGAACTTGATGTTTTGTACCCAGAGTAATAGTTATACTTTTTTTTGGATTAAGAAAAAGCCCATGGTTTATTGACCAATCCGTAATAGCTCTTAGGTCTTTGTTCAACTTGGCAATAGCGACCCTGACTTCATTTTCGGATGGCGCAGTATGAACATATAATTGACTATCATCCGCGTATAAGTGGAGTTGAGAGTGCTCCACAACATCGACAATGCTCGCTGTGTAAACTGAAAAAAGCGTTGGACCCAGTATTGACCCTTGGATTACGCCTCTCTCCAAGGGCAGCTGCGCTGACATCATCACCTTGCCATCAATATCTGGGCATTGCACTTTCTGATAGCGATCCCGAAAATATGACCGAAACCAGGCACATGCGTCTGCACCAACCCCATATGATTCCAACTTTACTAGTAATGTAGGTATATCTATACAGTCAAAAGCTCGGCTAAAGTCAAGCAATACCAATACTGTACCTCGACCCTTATCCGACTCCGCAAGTATATCATCAGTGATATTCATGAGAGCAGATACCGTGCTATGGTTCTTCCTGAAACCAGACTGTATTGACGGCAAAATATTGTTTGTTTCTAGGAATGATACCAGTTGCATTTTAACGCATTTTTCAACTACTTTTGATAGGGCAGGAAGTATATTAATGGGTCTCAGGTCAGAATAACTTTCTGGGTTCGATGTTTTCGGGATTGGCGTTACGATGGCACATTTCCAGGCATCAGGAAAAATGCCTTCAGTCAGGGACTTGTTTACTATAGCAAGTATCGCTCCCATTGAATACGGAAGCGTCAAATATAACATAAGCATGGAAATCCCGTCACAACCCTTAGAGTTTGACGATGCCGATAAGGTAATTATTTTGTTGACAGTTGTCTCGTTGGCCATTGCAAAGTGAAGCTTGGCGCCAGCACATCTATGTGCTGACCCACTTGCTTGGGTCTCGTGTAAGACGGTTTGTTTAGGTGGCAAACTATTCAAAAAATATGAGTTAAGGGCATCGGGATCTGCGAGATGCCTAGGCACCGAATTTTCATTTTTACCNTTGTTAATTGGCGATAATTGTGCGCGCGCACATAAGTCACGGCAAGATGGCCGCGCGGACGCAGTAATCGCGTTCGTGGAAGCCCGCGCCGCGCCGCCCGCATACAGATTGCGCCCCGCAAAAACGCTCCGCCGCCGCAATTAGAGGTCCCGGCCCGCGCCCCCGCCGCCTTCCCTGCCCCTCACTGCCCCGCCCATAGGGTTGACGACTTTTTGGGCGATTTTGGGAGATAATAGTCGGTCGTGGTTTAGCACACAGAAAGCGTAATCCGTTCAAAATAACAGTCTTTAACTTGAACTTCGTGATCACTTTTCTTAAAACTTTATCAGCGTTAAGTTCGGGGACTATTCCCACAACTCGATCCTACCGCTACCGCTGCAACTCCTTTGTACCCATCTACAATGGAGGTTTGTCTTTTGTTTTGTACTACTTGCATCACGGTGTAAAAGTATTAACAAATTGTTACTTTCTGTTACGTGGTTAATTTTAGGCGTAATGGGATGTCCAAATTTTCTCCTTTTGGAATGTGCTAGTGCAATCTGCATTTCATATTCTAGATCAGAATCATCGTCGAAATACGTGTGGCACCGACGGAGACTCGTAGGAAAATATATTTTTTTTTAATAAATTTATCGTAGCTTAGCCGTGTGTGACGCGCTTGATACATTACACGATGTATTTCATTACGCGTTACACTCGTCTGGCCCCGAATTCAAGAGGTGGAGGAGGTTTCCCACCAGGTGGCATTAAAAAAATTCACCCTGTATTAAATACTATCGATATCTAAAGACATACATTTTTCTAACCAAAAACTCTAAAGACGCGTCGTTTATTGTCTGTCACAGAAAAACTATCGCGCGCATCCCTGTTTCAAAAACCGGGATAAAAACTATATGTACTATGTCCTTTCCCAGGACTCAAACTATCTTTATGCCTTTCATCAAAATCGGTTCAGTGGTTTAGGCCTGAAAGCAAGACAGACAGAGTTACTTTCGTATTTATAATATTAGTATACCTAGAAGTATAGATAACCCACCAAAAACATTGTGTAAAAAACTAGCCAAGTCTCGATGGAGGCGCTGCTTGTTTATCTCTAAAAAGTAATGAAATCTAGACAAAGTCGTGCCAAGTCTATGGTTCCTTACTGCGATTTCTTTATTATTATAGTTAATGTTGTGTGACTTGAAACCGGCCTAGCTGGACACACGAAATTAAGCTGCTCGCTTCCTTGTTGATATAGACATCCACCTTCATTCAAAATTTTGAAGTTGTGACCATAATGACAGAAGTTATAGCCGGACTATGTTATTAGGCATAATTTGTCCTAATCAATAAATAATGTAATTATTTTTCTACTTTTTAGTGCAGGTTTTTTAGAGTCGGTTTTAATGATTCTGTTAAAATTAATTGACGGTTGTTAAAGTTAAAGTAAAATGATGCTTAAATGTTATGTTTAGGCGATATGAAGTTCACCGGGTTAGCTGGGTATGTACTCGTAGATTGTAATATTACTGTTAGTAGTAGTATAATTTAACGAAACCTTCTTGTAGGTGTACTCTCGAACAATTTACAGTGTCACGAAGGAGACCATCTGCTGCGATCATTCATAATAAATACAGATCCGGTAAGAGGCCCAACAGAATTCTGTTGAATGAGTGATATTTTATGGCTTTTCCAGTAATGAGCGGGCCACATTCCTAAACCGCTGCTTGCATGCGGCGGCAGGTGGCAGGCACTCTTCCACTCCTCGGCTTCACTGCGGCATTTCCCTACAAAGGAACTCTTTTTGTGGCCAAATATCTAATCATTAGTCTGCTTTAAATATGAAATTCACTAGGCAGATGTTGTTTTCAGTCATTTCCGCAATTTTATAATTAAAAGTGTCGTGTCAGTGACGGATGACAGCGCTGCAAAAAACTTTTTATATGTACTAACTAGACTGCATATGTCACCTTAACATTGTGAATTCCATCAGATTAAATAAATAAGTAAATAAAAATGTTATTTATTGGAAACAAGAAAAATGGACGCTTATTCAATGGAATAAGCGTGTACGATAATAGCCGGGATAGTTTAAGAATAACTGTGTGATTGTAATCTAGATTACAGTATAACCTTTTTTTAACGCCGGGAAATGCTTAGGTAGGTGCTTATTTGATTGAAATGTGTGGTTATGTGGGACAAACGATGTTTGCTTAAGTAAATAAGTAAGAGAAGACCTCATAATAAAGTTTGTGTATAAGTACGGGCGACAGTTTACCTATAAAACATCTGTTAGTTATGGTTTTCCTGTAAAACTTATATGTTTTTAACAAAAAAAAGGATTCTTTCCCGGATTTAGAAAACTGCGAAGTTATGCTGATGTTCCGAGAACTATCGAAGCGATTTTCAGCAGGTTATTTCAGCCCTAGAGCAACCAAAAAACTATTGAAATTGAGCAAACTATCTTGCAACTAGAGATGAGACGTATTNATGTGTCTTTGGATAGTTTTTGTCCCGGTTTTTGAAACAGGGACGCGCGCGATAAAGTTTTTCTGTGACTGACGGGCAAAGCCGCGGGCGGAAAGCTAGTACATTAATAAGCAAACCTATTTTATTATGACTGTAAAATTGTCTAAATAGGTAATTTAGTTTTGAGCTGACACGCAAACTTGTAATTAATATATTAACTAAACATTTTAATTGCTATTTAATTTTAATCCTGTTCCTGCTATTATTTAGGCTTGAGTTATTTGAATAGGATGAATGGCTTCTATTCAATACAGTTTAAATTTATAACATCAATGTTATTAAAAGGTAGTTAACTAGGTAGTTGGTAGTTGTTACATTTAGCATAAGCATGCGCCTTTTAAACCCAAGTTCAAGTTAATATTAAGAGTAGGCGCACACCGTTGATTTTTCGTCGGCCGATAGTTTAGTCGGGCAGTTGATCAGTATGGGATGTATGGGAGTGCGCACACTACGCCGATTCGATTTGGCCGATTCTTCATACAAATTAAAATCGGGCACAACTATCGGCCAACTAAAAATCAACGGTGTGCGCCTACTCTTAAACTACAAAAATTCCGGACAGCGGACACGTATGCACGTAAGTATTATTCTGTGGTATTATTGCGAATCAACCTTCAGCATTATAATAGTCGTACAAAGGTCGAAGAGTGCACCGGATTGAGACTTCATTAAGATTTCTATTTATGTAGGTATAATAAATACATGGGCGCGGGTTTTCCCATATTAGACCAGTATTATTTTATCATTAAGGAACTTATTAGCTATATCAACATATACTACATGTCTACCACTGTTTGTTTAAATAGAAGCACAGAATAGATAATTTGATAGAAGTGACCTCAGAAGTGACAATGTATATCTATCTATACTAATATTATAAATGCGAAAGTAACGCCTCCTAAACCAATAAACCGATTTGATGAAATTTGGCATAGAGGTAGTTTGAGTCCCAGGAAAGGACATACTATAGTTTTTATCCCAGTTTTTGAAACAGGGACGCGCGCGAGCGAAAGTAACGCCTAAACCACCCTAAACCAATAAATCGATTTGATGAAATTTGGCATATAGATAGTTTGAGTCCTGGGAAAGGACATAGGATAGTTTTAATCCCAGTTTTTGAAACAGGGACGCGCGCGATAAAGTTTTTCTGTGACAGACAAAATTCCACGCGGGCGAATCCGCGGGCGGAAAACTAGTTTGTTTATAAACTGGAACAACGTCAATCAATAAGCCTGGATCGCTCCAATAGATTGTCACCTGTTCCCAGAAGCTTTACGGGTATCGGTTACAGTACAATAGCCGGTTAATCCGAACACCTATTCTATTGCTCCCCTATTGTGTAAGTTGATGCCGTCGGATATGCTACGGCCACACAATTGACGACTATTCTGGTAAACCATCCAATAGATCAGGTTTTCCCAACCTTTATTTCGCCGAGCCTCCCTGAACAAAAAAAATATTTTTCATGCGGGAAATACTTATGACACTAATCCATTTTTCTATGTCCTCCTTAGGACCCACTCCGGTTGGGAAGTCCCGCAATAGACTGATCCAAGTGAAGATCTTTTTCCAACAAATAGGATTGTTATCTCAGCAAAGCTCAGTCTTAAATAGAGTCTACAAACTGGTCCGGAGATTTATTGTTCAGGAGAAGAATTCTGCACTAATCTAGCAAGATTTGAATACAAATTTCTATAAGAATGGTGCAAATTGCAAATTTGTATTTTACCCCATACGGCGACGACTTTGGCATTATAATTTGAGTTCAATTTTGCCCTCTGTCGTCTACGTCACAATTTTTAAGAGCTGTATGTGGGAAGTGCTGATTCTGAAGATTCTGACAGGGGCAAAAAACAATTCGTCAACGGCTGTCGATGGCGGCATCCGATTAAGTAATGTAACCAACAAGGTATTGCGCCATACAGCTAACTAGTTAGAACTAGAACCACTTTTGGTAACCTTGATCGATGTAACTGGTATTCAGGGGCTTTATTTGCAAGACTGCCTAACTTGTGATGTAAGTAAGGTGTGAATAATCACCACC